TGGAGAGGAGGTATAGATTGGACATCCGCAAAAACTACTTCACGGTTAGGGCGGCTAGGAGCTGGAACCAACTTCCAATGGAAGTGGTGCTGGCCCCTACCCTGGGGGTCTTTAAGAAGAGGCTGGATGCCTACCTGGCTGGACTCATTTGAGTCCCGTTTCTCTTTCTGGGGTTTTTTTGTTGTTCTCCCGCCCTGGCGGGGGGTCGGGCTAGAAGATCTACTAGGTCCCTTCCGACCCTTAATCTATGAATCTATGACAGAACTCTCCTGATTTATCAGTTCATTAGATCAATTCTGTTGCTGTATTATAATAAAAAACATTTAAAATTGATCCAAAAAGGAAAAAAAATGTTAATTTTGATCTCTTTTTTCTTTCAGATCATGTTCAAAATGAAGAGAACTACGCACAAGTACTAGATAAATTTGGAAGTAATTTTTTAAGTCGGGATAACCCAGATCTTGGCACTGCTTTTGTAAAATTTTCAACGCTTACTAAGGAATTATCAACGCTGCTGAAAAACCTGGTAAGGAATTTCAAGCATATTATTTGTATTCAAAAAAAAATTTCAAAGCAAATTCAGGTTCATATTTTCAGTAAGTTTGAGCTGTATACATATTCATCAGAATGTTGTCTTCACTTAATTTTAAGCTGAAACCAGCATGTGCATTTCAGACATATTCTCAATTACTGTTACACTTTAAGAACTGTTAAGCAGAGTTGTGCCTAGGCGTACATATTAGCCATACTGTGTTTGGTTATGTAATGCAGGGCTGTCCAGCTTCTCAATGGCCAGGGGCCGCAGCCCACCCTTACCTCCATAGCCATGGGGTCCTCTGCAGTACCATGTCATGAGCTCCATGCATAGCCTTCCCTCCTCTCCCCAGCCACAGACTTTACTGTTGCACCATGTGCATGCATGGGCAGTTACCCCCCTTACCTCCTCAACAGTAGGCTTCTTCCCTGTACCACACAGTGAGCTCCCCCAGCACCGCAGGCCATGATGCCCCCTGGGGTGGGGGCAGGAAGTGAAAGCCAGAGAAGGGTGTGGGGAGCTTGGAGACTCCAGCTTCAGCAGCAGCCCCAGCAATGAAGGGAGTGGCAGGCAGGGGGAACCTAGGGGCTGCAGATTAACCCCTTGGGCTGACAGTTGGATAGCCCTGATGTAATGTATAGTCAGCAAGAAAAATATAAATGTGAATTCATATACAATTTTCAAGTGACAGCAGATATCCTGGAATTCATAGTTTCATAGTTTCTAGGGTCGGAAGGGAC